AGGTTGGATATACTCCGATCCTACACATATAAAGGTTGGATATACTCCGATCCTACACATATACAGGTTGGATATACTCCGATCCTACACATATATAGGTTGGTTATACTACGATCCTACACATATACAGGTTGGATATACTACGATCCTACACATATACAGGTTGGATATACTACGATCCTACACATATATAAATTGGATATACTCCGATCCTACACATATACAGGTTGGTTATACATATACAGGTTGGTTATAATACGATCCTACACATATATAGGTTGGATATACTCCGACTACAGATATACAGGCTAGGACGGTATTGTGTGAATAATTGTCTTTATCCGGCAGTTTGTCAAACACCGATCCTTAACTAAACTGTATATATTCATATTCAAGGAATTTACTACTACCATAGAGATAGCATAACAGAGAGAGTGTAGTTGGTCATAGAGATGGTAAAGTATAACAGAGAGAGTGTATTTGGTCATAGAGATGGTATAAAGGAGAGAGTGTAGTTGGTCATAGAGATTGTATAACACAGATAGACTAGTCGGTCATAGAGAGAGTATACAGAGAGATAGAGTTTGCGGTCATAGAGATAAAATATAGAGTTAGAAGTAGACATTGAGATGGTTTATATTATGTGAGCGGGAGAAAAAATTGAAAATATTAATATATGGAAATCAATGGCAGTTATCATCCATCAAGATAGAATTTGTTCATTTGATCATAGAGATGGGATAAATAGATAGGATTTAGTATTTTCATAGAGTTTGAATTTAAATAGCTGTTTTCTCGATAGTGTTGGACTTTGCATGTTTTATAGAGTAGATAGTTCCAGGAAGAAGAAACAGAACCTTAGAAATAAAACTGAAACTATTTGATTCTATATTCACATTTAATGAAAATGAACGAGTTGAATGTTTTCTAGAAATTATTATGTTTAATATTTGAGTACTGATAAGTTTCCTTTTTTCATCTCTTTCTCTCTCGAGGGTGTCAGATAACATCTCTTGATATAATTGAATAATATTAATTCGGACTTTAATACCACGCAGGTGTTTCAATACATTTAAATTTATATCTTCATGTGAAAAATTTTAACATTTTCACAATAAAGTTTCAACAAAAATATGCTTGGTAAACTTAAAAACCTGTATTTTTACGTTCATTTGTTATTGAACACACATAACCAATACCCTCGGACATAAGAGACATCTATATATAAATTTAGCTTGTCTGTCTGTCTGTTTGTTTGTTTGTATCCAATAAACGTCAAAACGGCTGAACCGATCGACTTCCAAAATCATGCATTTGTGTGGTCACGTTTTGAGAATAGATTTTGTTTAAATTATCGAATGACGACAAAAAATGTAACAAAAATTTACAGTCAAAATAGAGAAGGCCGACCATATCTTCCACATCTTTGATCAGATGAAAGGTTAAAGAATATATCAAGACATCCACCTCTATAAATGTGAAATGAAGGATCACTTAGAATTACGATATAGTTTCTTACCTTTGCGATTTTTATCAGAATCAGAAGATTTATATAACTTTGAATCATCTTAAAGTACAAAAAATCATTGGAAGAATTTTAGAGTTATTTTAAAATCTGTTACAACTGATCGTGTATAAACTCGTATTTAGGAAATCATTAATTTAGGAGTTGAGATGAATCGTTTTTGGCAGAGTTCCAACATTCAACCATTTCCCTTAGTCCATCATATCCTTCCCTAGCCCCTTCATTTGGTAGTATACTTCCCCCAACCCCTCATTTTGGTAATAAACTTCCCCCAGCCCCTCGTTTTGGTAAAATATTTCCCCTAGCCCCTCATCTTGATAAAATACTTCCCCCAGCCCCTCATTTGGCATTTTACTCCCCCTAGCCCCTAATGTTGGTAATATGCTTCCCCTAGCACCCTAAATTTGATTATATCCTTCCCCTAAGCCATCATCTTGATTATATGTTTCCCTTAGCCCCTTATCTTTATCAAATTACTTCCCCTAGCACCCTAATTGTTGAATATAACCTTCTTCTAGCCCCTCAACTTGATAATATCCTTTCCCTAGCCCCTTAATATTGATAATATACTTCCCTAGCCCCTTAACCTTATTGTATCCTTCCCCTTATTTCCCAATTGCGTTTTTCCTCCTCTTACCAACTATAGGCCCCCCCACCCCGGCACCCCTTTTCTAACCCACTACCCCGCTGACCCCTTACACCATTCCTCTGGCCCTTCCCAACACCCCCCCCCCTTCCTAGCCCCCCCCAATTCCCCCTAGTCCCTCCCTTCCGTTTATCCTATTATAATCTTGAGCCAGGTGTGCCGTTTCAACCTTGCCCAAACTCTCGTCTAATCCGTGAAAAGTTTTTAAGAAAAATCCTCGAAAAATTCTTTTATTCCTTTGTACAGATGTAAACCTTAATGAAAAATGGCTGACTGGTCGAACAAAGCATAAATTGTAAGAGTTCCACACATCAATGAACTTTCACACGCTACACCGATTCAGTTAGAGTTGGGCAAGGCACCAAAAAATGATTGAAAATGTTTTCAAAGAGATGCGAATCTATCTGATCTGGATTTGAGGTCTAGATAATTAAAAATAGACCCAATTCATGATCCGACACGATCAGGCCCTAGGCACCCAGTTAATTGTATTATGTCTTTTGTGAATTATTAAAATGTAGAAAATACACGCATTAAAGATATTATATTTAGAACGATTTTAAATTAATTCAATTTTATTTTGTTCATATTTCAGCTTCTCTCGGATTTGCTCTTAATCTAATTTTTTCTCACTCGCGTCTTCTAAATACAACTGACTACATTACCCCACTCCCCTCCCTAACCTCCCTAACCTCAAAACCAATAGCCAAAGCCGACCCCCTTGCTTATCTCCCCCCCCCCTCGCATCAGCTAAAGAAGAAAGATATACGAGTTAGATAAGTTTAGCTAGCTTGGCGTTTATACCCCTTATCGTTAAAACCTC